GGACCCATAGCACAGGAGGTAACAAAACAGATCAATCCGGCTCTAGAAAAATTCAAATCAGAAATAATTTCCCAGTTAACCAGAGAGATGATGAGCAAAATGGAAGTCATGATTCGAGACTCTAGAATAGAAACTGACAAAAAAATAGATGAGCTCAAGACCATGGTAGAAGCCACGAAGACTAAGCATAAGCAAGAAATGGAAACAATTAAATGTCCAACAGAGGAAAGAAATGGAATCCATAAAACAGATTCAAACATATATCCAGGAGATTAAAAACTCTATCGAAAGTGTACACAACAGAATAAAACATTGCGAAGATAGAATTTCAGATATAGAAGATAGGATCGCAGTCAGTGACCATGAAAAAAGAGGTCTCTCGAAAACAGTAAAGGATCATGAAAAATCAATCCAACAACTTCTAGACGATGCAAAGAAAAATAACATAAGACTGATAGGAATTCATGAAAAAGCAGGAGAAAACGCAAATGACCTAAAAAAGCTCTTTGCAGAATTAATGACAGAAAACTTCCCAAAAAGAAGGGAAGAATTAGACATACAGATGAGTGAGGCATATAGAACTCCAACTCGCCAAGATCAAAAAAAAATCTACATCTAGACATATAATAATCAAGATCCCAGAAATCCAACAGAAAAACAAAATACTACAAGCAGTAAGAGAAAAAGAAACAAATCACATGCAAAGGAAAGCCCATTAGAATCACAGCAGACTTTTCAACACAAACCCTTAGGTCAAGGAGAGCCTGGAGTGAAGCATTCCAAGTCCTAAAAGAAAACAACCTCCAACCTAGACTGACGTATCCTGCAACACTCTCTTTCAAAATGGATGGGGAAATAACAGACTTCCATGACAAAGAACACCTGAGAAACTTCATGAACACCAAACCAGCACTACAAGCAATTCTAAAAGCTCTCCTAGAAAAAGACAATGAAAGTCACAACACCATGAGGCCCAGCAGAGCAAATGAAATAGGCAAGGCAGGAAACTAAAAGGAGAAGGCAAAAAAGTAAAAAGAATCAACAAAAGGCCAATAAGAAGACAATAATAAGTCAGTACATATCAGTTATAACCATCAATGTCAATGGCCTCAACTCACCAATCAAGAGAAATACACTGACAGAATGGATTAAGAAGAAAACTCCAACAATATGTTGTATACAAGAAACACACCTAGTGCAAAAAGAAGCCCATAGACTGAGAGTGAAAGGATGGAAATCAATTCTCCATAAAACAGGAGCCCAGAAAAAAGCACGGGTAGCAATCTGATTCACAGACAAAGTAAATTTCAAACCAAAACTGATTAAAAGAGACAAAGAAGGCCACTACATCCTTGTAAATGAAACAATTCAAGGGGAAGAAGTGACAATCATAAACATACATATACCAAATATAAATGCCCCCAACTATATAAAAGAAATATTAAGAAACATGAAAATCCAAATAAGCACTAATACAATTGTAGTGGGGGATCTAAATATATCACTTTCACAAATAGACAGATCATTTAGGCAAAAAATCAACAACAAAATACTAGAACTGAACCAAGCTTTTGAAAGCA